ACAAAATGGCCAGATCCACAAAGATATTATCACAACATTCCTAGAAACATATGTTGGCAGTGAAATTTCAGCAACTAAAACGAACTCATGTTATGTGTTATACACCTAAAATCATTCATGACATACTTAGCATTGTTACTCGGATATAATAGCTTGAAAACATGCTTAAAAAATCCATAAACGACTTACATATCACATTCAAAAACTTACAACTCAATATTCAAGTATTATGAAGGACTATATTCACATTATCACATGCTTGATACATAACAATAACATACAAGCTCTTTTGTTGTCAAACTATTCATCACATCAAACACATTTAAATGGTGCAGCATGTTCAAGTTGTTCCCATTGCTGAAAATACGTACATTACGAGTCTTAAAGGATTACCTGGTAACAAAAGAATAAACAGTAATTCAGCAACTAAAACAGCATAAAAATAGCAGCAAAACAGCAACAAAACCAGCAACAAATCCGTGTTAAAACAACCCGAAAACTTAGAGAGGGAACCCAGAATCGAACTCTAAAGAGGACTTATACTTTTTTAAAAGTTTGCACTCTAAGATTCACTCCCAAAGCTCACCATTTCAGCTTACTTTTCATGTGTTCAACTGCTGAATATTTTTTTGTTTTTGTGACAAAGCAATTAAAAAAAAAATAACCCCTGGAAGTGTGATGGAGTCCCCTATATATATCAAAACAACCAGCTATTTCAAAAAATTAAAAATCAATCTTTTTGACAGATTTTTCTACAAAATCTGCTCTTAAATTCAAAAAGCAAGACTTTCTAGTTCAAATCTTGTCAAGTATTTCAAACAAAATCTGCTCTCCACTATTCAAAGATACAATTTATTCAAATAATGTCCAAATGTGTACATTTTCTTACCAAACAATTTGACTTTTGAGTGTTGTACTCAAAGAGTCTTGAAGCAGTAAACAAACAACCAAACAAGTACCATATACTCTTAAGTATTTTTCATTACCTCACTTTTATCAATACAAAACTATTTTACTACTTCAACAAGTGCAAAAACAGAAAATTTAACATTTCAAACTTCAAAAACTAATGCAAAAATAATTAATAATAGACAAAAAAAAATCTGAAAATTAAAAATAAGAATAAAAAAAATCAGACATGAAAAAGAATAGTATTTTACCATTTTACACATGAAAAGGCCGAAAAATGGTGGTATGCCAAAGAGGGTATTCCGGGAGGTTGCAGGAATTAGGCCGGATTTTGGTCACCGGATTTTTGGGGTAGAATTGACATCAATAGCTAGGTCTTGAGGAGCTCTATTCATTGATGTAAGTATTTTGGGGTGGTAGTGGTTGAAGCTTCAAGAAGTTGGGCAAAAAAAGTGACGGGAAAGTTTCCTGGATCTAAGATTCAAGGAGTTTGAGGGATTTTTTTAAGATTTGGTTTGGAGATATGAAAAGAGGAAGTTGTGGAGATTACGTGGTGTGAATTTGGAGGTGTTTGGAGGTGGTCCGCCGCCGGTGGCGATTTCCGGTAGGCGGCGGTGGGCGGAGTTGGGGCGGCGTAGAGAGAGTGAAGAGAGAGAGAAGAAGGAGAGGGAAAGAAAAGAGAGGAAATAAGGGGGAAATGGGGAAATTTTTTGGTGATTTTAGGCTTTAAATACCTAGGATGAAGATCAAACTAGGACCGTTGGATTAAATCAAGATGGGTGGATGAGATTGAATCTTGTCACTTAACCAAAACGACGTAGTTTCAAGACAAAACTACGTCGTTTTAAGCTCTTCTTGGCAGCCCCCTTTTGGACCGGGTTTGGGCTCTTTAGGCTCAAATTTTGGGCCAATTTTGGCATAATTTTAATTAAATTACATTAGCCCAAACCTCACCCCATTTATCAAATCATTACTCAACTCTTAAAACCTATACATACACAAATAAGAACACACACACACACATATATATAAGGCGAAAATTAGGCATTTACACATAGCAAGGAAAAGATACAATTTTCTAGAAAATTCACAGAAAATGACCGCAAATAAAATACATATGCCTACTCTTGTAAGCAGGTTAATGCAAATGAAAGTGGACAAAATTAGTGATGGTTCAACAAACACAGAGCTGAAATGCTAGAGATCAGGGCCAAAATGTAAAGATCATAAAGCTCGTAGGTGCCAGCAATTTGACGAGGAACAGAGAAAGTAAAATGTTCAAAACTGCAAAAAGAAGAAATGGAAGAGTCCAAAAGATCACTGAATCCACCAAAAAAGATTAAGTAATAAGCAATAATGCCACACAATAAAGTATTAAGGGATGCCAAACAACTTGAGTACAAGCTCCCGTTGATGGAACTCATTAGTTTCAAGCTAATTGTATTTTTTAGAAGAGATAGGTAATCGTGAGAATTTTAGTTTTGCTAATAATGTTATTATTACCCCTTGGCACTTGTTATCTAATCTTATAGAAAAATACATTCAAAATATATGATAGCTTCCATTAGATGATAGCTGTGAGCACGTGATTTTTGTTTTGCGCGACAATCGCTCCAAAAGAATAAAAATAATAATAACAATTGGTCCTGCTGTACAATTTTTGGATTTATGTACGGCACTTTGTTAATTATT